AATTATAATTAGAATATCTTAATAATAGAGAAAACTTAACGCTTAATAATAGTAAGAATAATTATATATTAAAATAATAACGCGAGTTAAAGATTTAAGATATAATATTAATAATATAAAATAATAAGACTTATAGAGAATTATATTTTAAAAATTAGAAGAGATTATCTTCTAGATTAGAGAGTAATTTAGATAATATTATAAGAAGAAGAGCTATTAAAAATCTTAATTTTATTAATAATAAAGATAGTAAGATAATAAAGTAAGAAGAATAATAAGATAAAAAGATAATGAGATTAATATATATTATACTTATAATTCTTAGAATTAAAAGTCTAATAAGTAACTTTTACGAGTTTATATTTAGAATATTAATCTTCGTAATTTTAAATATATTAGCTAAAAATCTAAGCGGTAGAAGAGATATTAAGTATAAAGAGAAAGATTAAAGATCTAAAGAGTCTAAAAGATTCGAAGAGAAAGTAAGTTAATTTATAATAATTAAATTAAATATAAAGTACTCTAAATTTAAGATACTAATATTAAATACTTTAGTATATTAATTCTATAAGCTTCGCGTATAAAGAAGTAAGTTAATACTTCTATAAGCTATAGAATTTACTAATTAAGATATATAGAAAATATAAGTAATAATTATAAAGTATATTAAATAGATTATAAGTCTCTAGAATTCTTAGAGATAAAAGCTTACTAATAGATTTTTATTTTAATATCTATTTACTAAAATATAATCTAATATACATACGGCGTAGAATAGTATAAAGTATACGCTCGATTTCGAAAGTAAAGCTTAATAATCTATTAGGATTTTTAATATAAATATTTTAAGCTTAGTTAGATATATATTAGAAGCTAAATAAAATAAGAGATAGATAAAAGAAGATAAAGTTAGCTCGAGATATATTATATAAATAGAAAACTAGCTAAGATTAATATTTAGCTAATAATAGTATATAATAATATATTAACTATATCTTCTTATAAAAATATTAAGATTTAATAAATTAAGATAAAAGAAGTATTAAAGAAAATAATTTTTATAATAATATTCTTTACGCGCTATTTAACTCTAATTTAGATATATATTATTTATCTTAAAATAGCTCTTCGCTTTTTCTCGCGTAATATTATTAATATTATTATAAACGAAGTATTTATTATTAACTTCTCTTTTATATATTAATTAACTTAATTATATCTTTATAGCTTCTCTATTTTAAACTCGAAATTATAAACTAATTCTTTTATTTTCTCTTCGATATCGATAAATATTTTTATTCTAATTACGCGATCTTAGAAAGCGCTTAATCTATTATAAAATTAAATAAATCGATAATATAAATATTATTAAGAATATAGAAATGAGAAGCTCTGTAGTTTAAGACTCTATATTAGAATCTAGAATAGAAAGAAGTAATTACTAAAGCGATATAGTAAAAATTAATATAATCTATTAAAGTAAAATATTATTATCTTAAGCTTTTATACTTAGAGTAGACCTTAATTATAATAATAGATAGTATTATTAAAAGATATTAATTAAAGAATATAACTATAAAAAAATACTATTAAGAGAATTATAAAATACTTTTTATATATTAGAATCTATATATAAATTATTACTTCTTAAATTATCTTATTATATATATCGATATAAAATATTCTATAATTAATCTCTTATTAAGAAATTATTATTTTTAAATAATCTATAATATATATATCGTGATTAAAAAATATAGTATAGTAAAAATATAATAATGCGTTAAGCTTTTTCATATAAAATCTTCTAAGATATATATCTTCTAAGATCGAAAGTATAGCGCGTTAAAAGCTTTTTTTAATTAATTATTCTAATATTAATATATTCTATTAATAGAAAAATATACTAGAATATTCTAAGATTAAGATTTTATTTCACACTATAGCTACTTATACTCTATATCTTATTAATACGAGTCGAAATATTCTCCGTCTATAATAATGCCAAGACTCTTCGAAGAGGATTAGTAAAACTCCTCTATCGATCTTAAAGTAATTTTAACGCGTTTAACGCGTTTAAAATAGACTTAGACGAATAAGAAGATTATAAAAGACGTTTAAATACGTAATTTTCTCTTTAACGACGATAGCGAGATATTTTCGAATTATATATATTAACCTCTTTATAACTTATAAAAATATTCTTTCTTCTAATAAATACGAAGTTTTAAAATATTTAGCGAACTAGTTCTAAAGTAAAGAAAAAAAGTTATATATTTAATTCTTAAGTAGTAGAAAAAGTAATATTCGATTAGCTCGTTTATAATAACGACGTAAACCTTTCTATATTTAAAGACGTCTTTTTCTATATTTTATATATCTATAAGAGACTTCGACGTTATATAAGATATTCTTATTTATCGATATCGCCGCTATTAATATCTAACTTTATATTAAAAGAATAAATTATCTTCGCTTCGCTCTTCGCTCTACTCTTTGCAAGTTCGATAGCTATATAATTGCTTATATATATACTTACTTATTTATATATATCGCCGCGACGACTCTTATAAGCTTAGTTATTTAAAAAATAAAGAGAGATTACGACGTTTAATCGAAGTAATAAACTAATTAGCGAGACTATAATATTTTTTCTAATACGCTATATTATCGATTCGACGAGTATTATAGTAATTATCTTAATAATATATATTTTAAAGAAATTATTTCTATATAGTATCTACGCGTTTATTAAGATATATAGCGTTTTTAAATATTAATATCGCTGCTATAACTAAGTTAACTAAGTTTTTTAATAAAATAAAATTAAAAGTTTACTTCTTAATTATTATATTATAGCTTTTAATTTAACGAGAACTTATTTAACTATATTATTTAACTTTTTTTAAGAATTTTAAAAAAGGCTATATTACGTAGATACGTATTTTTATTAAGAATTATATATACGTAGGATGTAAATATTATATATCGGGCGATATATTAAAAAAATAAGTCTTAATAGGATTTTCTACTTAGATCTATTTTAAGATCGATAAGATTAAGCTAAGACTAAGATAAAGTAGATATTAAAGTAAGTAATATAAGTCTAAATCTTATCTCGACTATTTTAATATTTATTCTTTCTTTTATAATAGTTATATTAATAGCTATAATAATAGTTATATTAATAATAATACGCTATATTATTACTTTTAACTCTAATATAATTACGAATAATACGTTATTTAATTTATCGACGACTTATTTCTTAATCTCTTATTATTATTTTAATCTCTTATAGTAATAGATATAATAAGATCGATAGATCTATTAAAAGAATCGATTTAAATATAAATTTTTATTAAAAGATACTCGATAACGTAAGTATATTAGAGAGTCGACTTAAAGCGTTATATTATTAAGTGTTAATATAGACTTTACGTAAATATATAATATAAACGTAGCTCGTAGAGACGTCTATTATATTATAGAATTAAGTAAAATTAGATCTTAAAATATTATTATTATATATTAAAAGATAATATAATATAATTTATATATATAATATAATATAAAGATATTTATTATTCTATATATCTATAGAATAGATATATACGAAGAGAGACGCTAAGATCTATTTAGAAAGATATATCGAGTATAGAGAATAAATTCGTAATAAAACTAAGCTCTATAATTTATAGAATTATTAGTATATATAAAAGAATAAGATAGAACTAAGCTTAAAAATCTTAAATTTATATATATAATTAATAATAAATTTAGAGTTATTACGCTCTTTAATTAAATCGACTAAGTTAACTCGCTAGCTCTCTTAAGATCTCTTATTAAAAAATTAAATATACGTTATTTATAATAAAAATAACTTTTTTATTTTCTATTAAAATTTTAGATTTTTTTTTTAAATTTTAAAACGCCATTTACGCTTTTCGAATATTTATAAATCTTAAAATTTAATCTTATAATTATTAAAGCGTAAGAAATTTAAATATCGTCTATTAAAGTTCGCTTACTAAAGTTCGCTTATTAAAGATTACTTATCTATTTACTTAATAGCTCTAATTAAATAAAATAAAAATTAATTTAATTTATAAACTCTTATTTATAAAGTAATTAATATATATAAAAGAATAAGATAGAGTTAATTTAAAAAATCTTAAATTTATATATATAGTTAATTATAAATTCGAGGTTATTATATCTTTTAACTATACTATCTAAGTTAATTTAATAGCCCTCTCGAGATCTCTTATTAAAAAAATAGATATACGTTATTTATATATAGAATAACTTTTTTATTTTCTATTAAAATTTTAAGATTTTTTTTAAATTATAGAACGTAACTTACGCTTTTAGATAAGAAAAGAATTCTTAAATTTAGTCTTATAATTATTAAAGCGTAAAGAATTCAAATATCGCTTAATTAAAGTTCGCTTATTAAATTTTTCGATAGCTCTAATTAAAAAATAGATATATATTATTTAATTTTAGAATAACTTTTTTTTTTCTATTAAATTTATATTCTTTTTTTAGATTATAGAACGTAATATAAGCTTTTAGATAAAAAAAGAATTACTAAATTTAATCTTATAAATATTTAAAGATAAAGAATTTAAATATCGTTTATTAAAGATCGCTCTTTAAATTTACTCGACAGCTCTAATTAAAAAAATACGATTATGAATTTAATTTATAGACCTTTACTCGTAATATTAATAGAAAGCTAAGTATTTTAAAGTATAAAACTTCTATATATTAATTTTTAATAAGAAGATATAAAAGAATTATAGTCTTCCGGGCGCAACGAGTATCTCTTCCACCATCCAAGACGGACTCTAGTGGTGTTGTTTTCTCAGCCGACTTGAAAAGGCAGTGTTATGTTGAATCGCGTCGCTGCTATTATTCCAGTACCCTCGCTCAAAACCTATCGGCAATATCGATCTCAACACTGAGTCTACATATCAATCAGAATCGATAACAGAATGGACGAACAACGTTTGGAAGACTTTCTAGCCACTTTTCCAACATCAGCATCGCTGCCAAAAGCGCCTCCAGTGCCAGTATCCGGGTATAAATGGGTAAGTATCTCTCTTCGTACGCCCCCAAATAAGGCACCTTCTAAGGGATCTGATATTAGCTAACTCCAGTTATTTTCAAGGTACTTGGAATTCTACTTGTCGCAATCATAGCCTTCCCCTTCGCGGTATACTCGACTAAAGGATGGTCGTCATCAGAATCATCAACAAGACCTTTTCCAGAGCTTGCCTTTCTAAAGCATATGCAGCAAGGCAAATCCGATTTGGAGGCGGTCGGGCGACTTTTGGAGACAAATATACAATTTGACCCAAAGGACTCTCGGATGTCAAGGGCACACTATCTGAAACTCTTGAGTACAACATCTGCAGCTGCCGTCTCAGCAAAATTCATCAGCTTTTACCCGCAAGCAATTGATACCGTGTGCACCGAGTATTCTTGGGAAAGAATACGCAAATATCTCCCATGGCTTGTGGCCCGTTTCAGAATGGAAACCAAGCACATGGTTCGTCAACATCACGCCACAATTGATCAAGCAATTTCAGTCCAAGAAATGCTCCAAGAGAAATCGACTGAAGTTGATTTTCACCTGATAGAACACAATGAAACGATCATGGGGAAGAGCTATACTGGCGGAGCATGGCGGCCACGAAAAGAGCAGCAGCCTCTCATGCAGGAGATAAGTCAAAAGCTCAATAACGGTATCAGTTCATATCGTATGAGCTTAGACTTCTGGAATAGGGTAGGGGTTTCCGCAGACAGGATATATTCCAACGTGTCGGCAATGTCTATGAGTCATGGTCACGGTGCCAGAGACAGAGACGTGGAAATGCTATTGAATGATATCAAGAAGGCGCTAAGGGAAGCAATTGAGGAAATTGTCTCATAGCATAATGTGTGAACAAATGGACTAGGACAACCGCTAGATCTACTGGAAGAATGCTGCTCCACCTTCTGCTGCTCCACCTTCTGCTGCTCCACCTTCTGCTGCTCCACCTTCTGCTGCTCCACCTTCTGCTGCTCCACCTTCTGCTGCTCCACCTCGTCATCTTCGCTCCCATCGTCGCTATCCAGAAGTGGTTCGAGCGTTACAGTAAGTGCCTGTAGATAGTGTCATTAAGGTGTTGGCGCAAGGAGATTTCATCGCCTTATCGAATCGGCTTTGAGAGCTGCGAAGCTTGGATCTCGGCTTCAAATATCCATGCTTGATTAAAAACACCATAGATGTTGTCGTAAAGCCCTTGAAGTCTTAAGGCTCAGTAGGTAACCCGGATCTCCCTGCTCAGCAATGATTGCAGTGACTTCTTCATCAAACAAATCAAGAAATGGATGGGCCGCATAACAAAAAGATAAGCTTGTTGTCATCACCGCCAAAGTCATGATCTGGCGTGATGAAAGTTTGATAGTGGAGGGCCTCGCGAAGAACCGCTCATTACCTTGAAGCACAAGATTGGAAAGGTAGGAGAGGTTCCACGTTGCCGGAGAGGATTTACCTCATTGGCGCCAATTGTCCTTGATGTCCAACGCTGTATTGAAATCCTCTCGGGCAATTGCTTCAATTAAGACTTTGCATTAATCCCAGAACTACATAGGTGCTTTCTTCGCATTCTTTGCATTCTCATTGGCTTCCCCATAGCGACTGTACCCCGTCTGCGATGCACAACTTTTCCTTTGCTGATATCTTTGCTCCAAGCATTGCTGCCACCGTGCTTCGTAGCAACCCCGACCGTGACCTATTTCTCCCCTTTCCCCATCACCTGCTGATGTAGATTTGTGACATCAAGCACAGGGCGCTTGATAACGCCTGGCTGACGATTACTTTTCCACTCTTGATACCGAGCGCTGCGGGCATTCCTATGAAATTTGGTGCAAGGACGGCTCCCGCTATTGCTGTTGCGGCGCTCCCTGTAAAGCTTGGATGTCCGTCTGTTCATGCGGTCGTTCACAGGATGAATAGGAGTAAAGGAGGCGGCCGACACTGGGGCTTCTGGTACGTGGATGTCTGAGATTTTGAGTAGGATCAGGCCATCAAGGGGGGTGGGTTGGAGCATGCTGATGAGAGTGTAGTTGCTATGCTGTATGACTTCGGAGCTCCTCCGCTGCTGAGCGTCTACGCGGGCGGTATGGGGGGATAGGAAAGGAAAGGGGAAAAAAAAAAAAAAAAAAAAAAAAAAAAAAAAAAAAAAAAAAAAAAAAAAAAAAAAAAAAAAAAAAGACTAGGCCGGGGCCACTGCAGCGTTAGAAGCTCCAAAGTCTAGTACCATCGACTTGATGCCGATGACGCGGGCGATGTTGGTCTAGATGAACAGGTTGATTTTGACATGGGACATGCCAAGACCTGCCAAGGCTCAGGCAGTGCGAGCAGATGTCAGATACCAGGGGGCCGAGGGGCCAAAGCACTGCACATCACTTGCACCCTCGTGCTTGCCACGAGTATTTGCCTGCTTGCTGTATCTTGAACATCTTAGACAGGGCGGATTACACGGCTCTGGCAAAGCAAGATCACCTACCGAATCAATCTTAATATTCACTCGCCTCATAGAAGGCCACACCACTGGATCATCACTCAAAGCCCCTGCCTTTGCAAGATGCCCCAAAAAATATATTATCCCCGCATATGTGTCTGGGTCTTGATACCTTGGCTTCATCTCTTCATGATTTGTTGTATCTTCGCACGACCCCCTAGCTTTGTCGCTCGCAAACGGTAGGCTTTCCAATCCCAAATATTTCTGTTCCTTCGATTTACAACCTGTTGTAGGAATCAACTAAGTCACGCTGTCTCTTGGGCTTACTATAGTCTTTGGGAAGGACTGTTCATACCTAGACAATGGGTCTCCTCTCAGTCTGGCCAGGTCAAAAGTTTCATCTTCAACACGTTTCAGCACCCACCGGATCCTGGATGTCTTACGATTGCTAAAATTGGAGCTGCGAGGGCGGCTGCTTTGGCTTGGACCGCAATATGCGCTGAGACAATGAGCGCCGGATGGACGTCTTCACGAAAGATCATAGCTATTGTACTAGCCTGGATTGGTACATACGCTGAGACAAGGAGCGCCGAACGGATTTCTTCACCCAAAATCGTTGCTATTATAACATTGTGCGTATTGGCTGTTGGATTGAATGTCACGGTTGTTCTTGGTTTGCGGGCTTGTTGGAGATTGCTCATGAGACTCCGATAAACTTGGATGTTTGAGTAATTGGGGCAGGGCTCCACGGCAAAGTCTTGTCAACAAGCCTTTCTTGGCTCCGCACTCGTTGTAATTGCTTGCATCTGTCTCTGGTAGACGAGGATCATGGAAATCTTTGGGGAGAATTCAAAGGAGCGATGGAATCAGTCTTCGAGGCTAAACAAAGAGGTCGTTGCATGGTTCAGGGGATACCTTGATGAGACCTACTCACACTCTATCGTGGCTATCACCACAACCATCAAGACAAGATTACAAACGTTGACAGGTCTATCATTTATGACCAGTAAGACTCTACACCCCGCAATCTGAAGTCTTTCAAGAAGGACGGCCTAAACTAGCTTGCATCAAACCTGAGAGTAGGTCTACGGATGTCGCGGGTATCTTCTCAATGGCGTTCCAAGGACAGCTTTTCATTATTGCGATAGCGGCTCTGGTAATAAAACCATCAAGCACACGGTTAAATGGATGCATTTCCAGACGATCAGTAAAGAAGTATGGATCAGGAGGCCGCACAGATTGCTTCTTAGCGATGAGCCCACATTCAATAAGTAATCCTTTCACGCAAGCTTTATTGAAGCAACTAGCTTTTTCCATATCACCACTCCTCATCCATTACTAGAAATATCGGCATCGTAGAAAAGGGTATCATCCTAGACCTGACTACCCGCGCTTCCACCACTCGGCCCGGCCTCCAATGCAAGAATACTGACTCCGTACATCTGCCGTAAATGAGCCCTCACAGAATCACCAGCTGTGTCAGTCTCGCTTTCCCGGATCTTCCTACGCAGCTCTAGCCTCTCCAAGTGGGCTATCGCGTTCTGGTAAGGGAGACCCGTTTTGGTGATACGATTTGCTAAGCTAAAACGCCGTTGAGTTAGTCCATGAGTTCCTGCAGGTAGTGAAGCATATGATTCAAGGCATGAGGTGAGCTCGAGGAAAGAAGTGAAGTCGCTCGTTAATCTCACTTTAACGACAGGCTGCCAGATTCGCAGAGATGGTGAATCGCAAATACAAGAAAATGATCCAATTAGCACTCACAAATTCTCGGATAATGTTTGGCACAAAAAGAATATACACCCAGTCCCGAGTTGCCGGCACATCCATTCGAGATTATCACCCATCTTCAAAATATGCGTGAGGTCTTTCAAATCCATGGTCACGAGTATAGAACTGCTTCTTTCGACGGCGTGAGATTCCATGTGATTTTGCCGTTCTGTGAGTACTCGTTGGATCTCTTTTACCCTGGCCTCATTCAATGAGACTCCAGTTCCATAAAAAGAGTTTTTCAAATCTCCCACGAGTAGCGTGAGGAAGAGCCAGCGGAGTTGATCTATGATGACCCGATGTCCTGCGGCTTTAGCCACACAACAACATTGGACAAGAGCCTCTGCAGCAGACAAGTCTCCCAGAGCTTGCGGCCCACCCTGAGTCAACGCAGCGTGGTCGCCCGCAAGAATAGAATGGATTTTGTGTCTGTTGCTGGAAAGAAGATCGATCAAGACTGAGTTAAGCTCCAGGCTCTTCAAGTTCAGTATAGCAGCCCACGAGGCTGCCGATGCGACAGTGGTTGGGCTGTTGACATCTCCTTCCAAACGTTGAGATAAGGATCTGGTTGCGTTCCCGTCTTTCCGCGGACGTCCAACACGTCTTTTGGAGGGATTCGGTGGAGCTAATGGGTTAGACTGATTAGTATTCTGATGACAATAAAACCTCCCGGCAAGACTGAGGGTTTAGTCTTCTTACCGGACTCAGCTGATGTATCAACATGCCCACCCTGGACTTCATTCTCGTCCTGGCTATCGATACTTGATAGAGTGAGGCCGGGATCAACAACGATCTCGCTCGTCAGTCGTCGCCTCTTGTTTGTACTTTGCACTAAAGAATGCAAAGTTGCGTCTTGGGTCTGTCGTGCTTCTGCCTCTGGTGATGAGATAAAATGTCCATGGAGACACTCTAAGACTGCCTTTTGATCTCCACTGAGGCCATCTGCGGGGAATTCCAAAAGGATAGAGAGTGTCTTGGGGCAGTAAGCATTAATATCATCTGCTCAGAGAACTCATCACCTACCCTTTTGGATAGAACTTTCGGAAGCAAGCTCGACATTATCTCTCTAGCTTCATCTTGTAGAATTTCTCCCACTTCATCTCGTAATGCCCTTCGGGCCTCTGACGTTGATGATTGCATGATCAGCCAGTAGAACGGGATTGGATTTCGTTGCTAGTGGGGTGCTGCAGTAGAGGGTGGTGTTGACGAGACAAGGAAAGGTGAAATTGGAGCTCAGTAAGGCGAGAGGTTTATGCTGACTGCGTACAGGAGCAATGAGGGTTGAACAGTATTGATTATGCCTTGCTTTTTGTTCTCGATGAGGTGAAACAAGCGATGTGTATCGCGTTCGTCTCGAAGGTGTTACACGCGTACTATACTTGTAGCAGGGTTACGGCTGTAAGTCACCCTAACGGCGATAAGGCAACTCCGACCTCCACGGTACGCGAATCTCGACTCTCGACTCCCTACCACAGCAATACTAGGGCTGTTTTGAAGCCTCAAATTCATGCCACGTGATTGCCTCGTGCTAGAAAGCTACTATTGAAGACTTGCAGCTACCTAAAAGCCCTCCCCCCTCGGTCCACCCCTCTTTAGTACGCTGCTAACTAAGTCGACAGAAGCCCGTCGTCTTTGGCTGCCTGCACGTCCTCTTGGAGCAGTACTCCGGCTTCTTCCACTACCTCGCCCTCTGGCACTACCTCGCCCTCTCCCACTACCTCGCCCCCTCGGCACTACCTCGCCCTCTGGCACTACCTCGCCCTCTGGCACTACCTCGCCCTCTCCCACTACCGCGTGCAGCACTTGACTCGTCAGGCGGGCAAATCACCGAATCATACCCCCAAGGTAGGAATCCTTACCCATTCATACCCCTACACCAAATCACACGAAAAATCGGGGTATGATTCGATAATTTGTCATTGCTTGGGGTATAATCTGACGACGGTCTTGAATGATAGCTTTCTGGGATGAGACGGTTTGGTGAAGGTGGCGGTAGCGGTAGGCTTACTGAGCGTCTGGTAGTGGCCGTTGACTCGATTATTGATGACGGTGGTATGTTGGGGTGTGATGATGGTCGGATTTAGCCTTCGAGGAGTCGAAATCTCGCCCACTCGGCTTTCGTCTAATAGTTTTAGACTGATAGATTCCAAATGCGGTCGGAGAAGCTTCCTTACTTCTATGATCGCACAGGCCAGATCGCGGCTTATCTCCTTCGTAGTTTAAGGCCACTTTGACAACTTGCCAAATCATACCCCAAACAATGGCAAATTACCGAATCATACCCCATAATTTGGGTGAAATTTGGCGTAGGGGTATGGTTCAGTAATTAGGGGTATGATTCGGTAAGGATCCATACTTTTGAGGTATGAATTAGAAATTCGCCCCTCGTCAGGCTGCGATTCATCATGCTCTGTTTCCTCGACATCGACTCCTTTGTCTAAGAGCTTGCCCAGTGGGGTGCGTGCCCTCTTCGTCCGCAAGGCATATGAGGGAACCTCGGGGTCGCTTTCTGAGTGGGCGGATGAAGCACGTCTACTCGGTAGTCGAGTCGCCGAAGAAGTAGGAGGATCAAGAGAGTTGTAAGCGGCCACCTGTGATGCAAGCCACTCGTATCTTAACTGGACGATCGGCAGATGACGTAGGAGTTGTCCTTGTTCGAATGGTGAGAGGGTATGTGGTAACGACGATATAGGCTGTAATGGAGTGGTTGGTCCTTGGTTACACGGATTGCTCGGCATTCTTTCCTCTGTATCGTACTTCCTGCAGTACTTTGCTACCTTAGTAGCTGCATGAAATAAAGAATTAGTTGCGTCTTTGCCTTCTGAGTCGCATCTTGCCCAGCCCTCAAGACGGTCACGTACCTCGAGTGGTCCTAGAATTCCTGAACGCCGAAAATAGCGACTCGCTCTTCTCTCTTCGATGTGGGGATAGGATGGAGGCTTCGGAATATCGTCTTCATTCATAGTATCAAACCATTGCTTCCTTGTCATATGTCGATTGTTGGGGCCCATGTCTTTGACAAAGCTTCGTCGTATACCCTTACACGCCTCCGTTTGGACAATATGCATCATTGCGATCCTTTCTGCCCAACTTGGCCTTTCCCAGAGCCTTATAAAGCCGTATTAGGTGGGTACTCGTGGTGGCTGACATTCCTTCATTCCTTCATTCCAGAAATGTCGATTCGATGCTTCCTCCCAAGTGCCTAGATGCACCATCATCTCGTCGGCCAAAGCAATCGAAACAAGATTGTCAATTACGGTGCCATCATTCCTCTCCATAACCATCGACGGTTCCTTTGGCGGTAACCAAAGCCCCTTATGTTGCGATGAACATGGTGAATTCTTCTTTTGGCATCCCGATGGAATTTTCGAACGCTTCTCCGGACTCCGTCCCTTTGAAATATGCATCGAACCCCTTCGAATGCAAAGATTCCAGCCAGAAGTCCCGCCACAATGAAAATATGGCCGCTGGTGTTTTTCCCGGCAGGTGTAAGCTCCTTTTGCGCGACGTGGATACAGAGCGCCTCAAATCTTTCGCTCCTCAGCCCTTGAAAAGTTCTAGACACTGCTAAGCTGTGTAACTGGCATACTTTGCCAATCTTCCAAAGGTCTTCATTGTCGATGGGAGGAATGTGGGCTTGTCGAAGAGATTTAAGGACCAGAACCATTGCAGTCCTATCGTAGGGCATGGCTGCAGCTATGAGATGGAGAAAGAATACCAGGTAGAAACGGAGTGGGAATATACGAGACGTATAACGGATGACGCGTAATGGACGTGTTTGTACCTACTAGGATATGCAGTTTCCTTAAATCCGATAGACCCGACGCAACATCAAAATGCTTACTTCTTATTAAAATATAATTTAATCTATATTAAGATATTAAAATCTATAATTTAAAGAATATAGATTATAGATTATATTTTCTATTATAAATTAAGCTATTAATAACTAAGTAATAATAAGTTAAAAAATTAAAAGCTATTTATTTTAATTTAGATTTATATTTAATTATTAATAATTATTATCTAATAATAAAAATTAGATTCGCTATAAACTAGTTATAATAATAATTTTAAAATATATATTATCTTTAATTAATTATCTCTAAAGATATAAAGAGAGATAAAAGTTTAATTAAAAAAAGACTATTATAACTCTTATATTAAATCTATTAATATTAATTTATAGTTATAATAAAATAAAATATAAAATATAAAAGAAGATATAAAATATAATATAATATAATAATATTAATAAATTAATAATTTATAAGAAAATATTAAATATTAAATATTAAAATTTATATAATATATAATTTAAAATTTAAAATTTAAAATAATATAAAAGCTATATTTAAAATCGAGTTTATATATTTATTAATAATAGACTTTAATCTTTAAAAAATCTTAATAATAATAGAAAGTTTTTAAAGAGATATTTATTAACGCTAGCTTAATTTTAAGCTTAAAATTAAATAATTTTTATAATCTTTTATAAGAATATTATTAACTTTAATAATTTTAAGAAATTTAATTTTTAAAAATATATTATAATAAAGTTTAAATTTAACTATTTTTACTTTTATTAATTCGAGATATTAATATTATATTTAAGAGCGATAATATAGATTAAATATTAATTTATATATTTTATATTAGATACTTTAATATATAACTCTTTTATTTTTTTAAAGATAAAAAAGAGAAAAAAAAAGAAAAAAAAAAGAAAAAAGAAAAAAAAATTATATAAAGTTTCTTTTAAATATATAAATCGATTAAAGCTTAAAAGATAATAAATTAAATTATTTAATATTTTAATATTACTAGTAATAGAAGATTAATTATTCTAATAGTAATAATAATAAAAGATTAATATTTAATATTATTATAAAATAAATACTTTAATATTACTTTAAAGTTATAAGATTTAAAAAATTATATACTATTATTTTTTTTTAAATTTTATAAGAATTTAAATAATATATTTATTATTAAGATTAATATATATAAAAGAATTAAATAACTCTAAGTTTAAAATCTTAGATTTATATATATAGTTAAAGATAAATTTTAACTTATTATACGTATTAATTAGATTTTATATATAAATAAATTAAAATTTATATCTATTAAAATCTCTTCTTTTATTAAATTATCTTTTAGAATAATTTTAATTTTAATTTCTTTTCAATTATAGAGTATAACTTCTACTTTTAAATAATATAAATCTATAAAGTTTAATCTTATATATCTCTAAAGATATAGAATTTAAATATCGCTTATTAAAGTTTACTCGATAGCTTTAATTAGAGAAAGAAATATATTTTATCTAAATTTATTAGAATTTTAATTATCTTACTTATATTATAATTTAATTAAACTTAATAAATTAAGATCTTTTAATCTTTCTACTCTACTATAAATTTTATATTTATAATTATTCTATATAGATAATATTCTCTTTATACTATAAGAAAGAGTTATTATATATATTCTTAAATTTCTAATATAATACTATTTATCTTTCTTTTAAAGTTATTACGAGCGTATTCTATACTCTTAATATACTACTTAGCTCTTTAATTTATTCGAATCTATCGTATCTTAATAGAGATATTTATCTATTATTTAATATCTCTCTTTTATCTATATAGTCTAATATCTTAGTTATCTTATCTGATATATTTATATTAATAAACAAATTTAAAAAAACGTATTAATAGAGGCTTTAGTAAGAAATTAAATTAAGTTATTATATTTTTAAATAAATTTATTAAATAGATAAATTAATTTTAAAGAGTTTAAATAAGATAACGAAACGATTTTAATAAATAGTAGTTAAGAAATAAAGAAAGTACTAAATTATTTAAATAATTAGCGAATCGAAAGAAATAGCTAATTCTATCTTATATTTTTATATTTAAAATATATATTAATAATACTACTTATAACTTTATATATTATAATATTTAAAGTTTTAATAAGATTCTAATTAGATAAGAAATAGTCGAGTTATAATTAATTAAATATATTATTCTTTAAAACTTTCTTATATATAACTTTTTTATAAAATAAGAGAGTTAAAAGAGATTCTTTAGATAAAGTAAGTATACTTAAAAGATTACTATTTAAGCTATTTATAGTTTTCTTAATACTTTAAATAATTAAGAAATAAGTATATTAAATCTTTATAAAGAAATAATCTTATTTTAGACTTTATAGTAAAAGGTTTTATTCTAAATATTAAATAATTTCGATACGTTTTAAAGAGAATTCTTTATTTTCTAATACTTCTAATATTTTTAATATTTATTCTTTCGAAGTATTTAAACTCATCTCTATTTTATTTTAAATTTTTTTTTTTCTATAATAAAATCTAATATCGAAAAATTAAATTAAATTAAAATCTTATTTAAGTAAATTAAATTTTAATAAATATTAATTCTATTAGATAATATTTCTAATAAAATAGACTTTATAGATAAATTTTAAAATATTATTAATAGTCTATAACTATAATATTAAATTACTAATAATTCTAACGAATTTATATTTATATTAAATAAAATTTATTAAAAATAAGATAATTTCTAGAAGATTATTATTTTATATTATATTATTATAATAAAGATGAATTAGATTATAAATAATTTATTTTAAATCTATATATTAATTAAGGAAATATATTAACTAGTTTAAAATTTCTAGAAAAATATAATTTTTTTATAGCGAAAAGTTAATAATCTCGATTTATAGTTTATAAAGAATTTATAATTATTTTTAATTAAAAAAAATATATATTTAGATATTTAAAAAAGAAGTTAATTAAGATTTTTAATTTATTTGTAATTTTAATACTAGTAATTCTATTTAAAATAATTAATCTTTTAGAATAGAATAGAAATTTAGAGTTAATAGCGATTATTATCTTATTAAAAACTTTAAAATAATTAATATAATCTTATAATTTAATAGTAAAACTATATAATAGATTATATATAGAAAGCTTCGAAATTTTATTAATTTATATTAATCTATTAATAAGATTATAAATAAATTAATCGATATTTATAAGAATTTAAATCGATATAATAATATATAATATAATATAAATACTTTATAATAAGAGATTTAATTCTTTATTAATTTCTATTTAGACTTTATTTAACTAGTTATTATTCTTAATATTAAAAAAACTCTTATATTAAAAAAATTATTTTTTAAAGAAATTAAGAAAAAGTTTAAAAACGTTATAATAGATTATAAAAGATTTTACTATTTTAAAGACTATAAAAGAATATCTTCGAAATTAAATAATTTATAATATAATAAATATAAAGATATAGAGTATATAAAGATTATTATTAAGTTAATTATAATATAAATATCGAGAATAATATTTATAATTAATATATATTTTATATCTATTATCGAGTTTAATTTAAATATAATTATTATACCTCTAAATATTATAATTAATTTAAAATTAAAAGAACTAATATATTATAACTATAAAAAAAAAATTACTATTAAAAGAACTATATAATAATTACTTAAATCGAGATTAATAAAAAGATTTTTAAAAAAGTATAACTTTACGTAATATAGAAATAAATAAAGAATTTAATATCGATAATATCGATATTACGAGTAGCGATAATTCTTCTTTAAATTTAGAAAATAAATAGCCTCTTCTAAAGTTATAATAAGAGATATTTATAAAATATATTTAATAGATACTCTTAATAATATCTTAATATATTATCTTTTATATATATAAGTTATAATATCTTTATAAGAGAGAGATTATAAATAGTAAATATATTAATACTTATCTAGTCTTAAATGAGTTTTTAATTCTAGCGATATATAAAATCCTATATCTATAATTACTCTTATTATTACGATTTAAATTATTAAGAAATTACGATGGCTAGATTATAAAACGATTAATTATATACTATTTACTCTCTATAATAATAATAAAAAACTATTAAAAAGAAATATATTTAATATTAATTATATTATTAGTATATATAATAGAATAAGATAGAGTTAAGCTATAAAATCT